TGTCCTAGGGTGAGGATAAAAAAAAACAAAACAAAAAAAAACTAGAAATAAAGAAGAACAAAATACACCCAAAAGTAAAAATAAGAAACAAGATAATAAAGATAAGAGAATAAGTCAATGAAATAGTGAACAGAAAAATAATAGAGAAAAATCAATGAAAACAGAATTGGCTCTTAGAGAAGATCAAAAGAATTGAAAAACCTTTAGCCAGATTAATTTGGAGAAAACAAGAGAGAAAGATGACACAGAATTTTAATATTAGAAATGAGAGAGGGATGTCACAAAGAGTCTACAGACCTTAAAAGATAATAAGGAGCCCTGGCCAGTTTGGCTCAGCGGTTGGAGCATTGGCCTGCGGATCAGAGAGTCCCAGGTTTGGTTCCCACTAGGGGCATGTACCAAAAAAAAAAAAAAAAAAAAAAAAAAAAAAAAAAGAACAACTAGCCAGTAATTTCAACAATTTAGATAAAATGGACAAATTCCTAAAAGATACCAACTACTAAAGCTCACTATATAATAAATGATTAACCTGAATAGCCTATGCCTATTTAATAAGTTAAATATGTAGTTTAAAACCCACAAAGAAAACTCTAGGCCCAGATGGCTTCGTTGGTGAATTCTACCAAACATTTAAGGAAGAAATAATACCAATTCTACATAAACTCTTCCAGAATATCTATGATACCAAATCCAGACAAAGACATTATAAGAAAAGAAAAATACAGACTAATATCCTTCATGAACATACATACCAAAATTCTTAAGATAATTTGGCAATCATTTAACAATGTATAAAAACTATAATATGTTATGGCCAAGTGGGTTTTTATTTTTTATGGGCATGCCATGCTTATTCAACATTCAAAACTTGATCAAGGTAATGTATCAATATACAAAAGAAGACAAGCTATATTATCGTCTCAGTAGATGAATAAAAAGCATTTGATGAAATTCATCATCCATTTGTGATAAAAGTCTTTCAAGTAAATTAGAATCGAGGGAACTTTCTTAGCCTGATAGCAGGCATCTAGAAAATGTCTATACCTAACATCTTACCTAATGGTAAAAGACTCAATGCTTTCCCTTTAAAATTGGGAGCATGGATCTCACTACTCAGATTCAGCATCATGGTGAAGACCCTTGTCAGTGCAATACTCTGCTGGGAAAGGAGAAAGTAAAACTTTATTTATTTGCAGATGCCATAATTGCCAATATAGAAAATCTCAAAGAAACAACAACAACAACAAAACCCTACTAGAACTAATAGGTGAGTTTATCAAATTCCCATGATAAAGTCAGTATACAAAAATCAATTGTAGTTCTATATACTTTTTTTTTTGGTACATGCCCCTAGCGGGAACCGAACTCAAGACTCTCTGGTCCGCAGGCTGATGCTCCAACCGCTGAGCCAAACCGGCCAGGGCTCTATATACTATTAATAAACAATAGAAATTAAAAGCACAGCCCTGGCCGGTTTGGTTCAGTGGTTAGAGCGTCGGCCTGCGGTCCGGAGAGACCTGGGTTTGGTTCCCGCTGAGGGTGCGTACCTTGGTTGCAGTTTGTCCCCGGCCCTGGATGGGTCGTGCGGGTGGCAGCCACTCGATGTATCTCTTTCACGTCGATATTTCTCTATCCCTCTCTCTTTCTCTCTCTCCCTCCCACTCTATCTGAACAAAATATCGAAAAATGTCCTCGGGTGAGGATAAAAACAAAACAAAAACAAACGAACAAAAAAATAAATTAAAAGTACTATTTATAAGAGTACCAAAATCATGAAGTGCATAAGTATAATGAAGAAAAAAAGATATGTGTATTGAAAACTATAAAACACTGATTAAAGAAATAAAGAAAAACCTGAATAAATAGTTATTCATATTCATGAATTCTAATCTTTTGAGATTCAATATAGTTGTCAATTTTCTTCAAATTGTTGTATAGATTCAATAAGATCCTAATAATAATATGAATAGGCTTGTTTTTTTTTTTTTTTTAAGGAAGAAGCAAGCTTATTTTAAAAATTTATAGAGAAAAGAAAAAAAAAACTAACTAAAATAGGCAAACAACTTGAAAAAACAAAATTGGAGGACTCATATTGGTTGACTTCCAAGTGTCTTATTGTGAAAGAGATCGTTATATAGAACAATGCATTAGTGTAAAAAGTCTAGAAATTGACCCATCCTTATATGGTCAATTAATTTTCAATAGAGGTGAAAAGATATACCAAAAACAAAGAAAGAAAGAAAGAAAAAAGCTATGATTTATATTTTATACCATATACAAAATTATCTGAAAATGAATCATAAACCTAAATATTAAACCTAAATACATAAGAAAACAGGAAAAAATCTTTATGACTTTGGATTAGGCAAGGTTTTTTAGATTTATTTTTTAAAAGATATGACAATGAAAGCATAATTCTTGAAAGAAATAAAGATAAATTGGGCTTCATCAAATTTAGAACTTTTATTCAAAAGATACTCCTTAAGAAAATGATAAAACAAGACACAGACTGGGAGAAAGTATATACAAATCATATTTTTGATAAAAGACTTGTATCCAGAATACATAAATAACTTCCCAAACCCAGTCATAAGAACAAGACAAGTCAATGGAAGAACTGGAAAAAAATTTGAATGGACATTTTATTTAAAAAGATACACTAGTGGGGAATAATCATGTGAAAAGATGTTCAACACCATCAGTCATTAGAGTAATACAAATTAAAACTGCAGTGATGTCACACTTACACTTCCATAAGAAAAATTGTTTTTAAAGTCTGATAATACCACGTGCTGCTGGGATGCAGAGCAACTGCAACTCCTGGAATAAAAGAAATAGCTACTTTGGAAAACTAACAGTTCCTTATAAGGATAACTGTACATTCACCATCTGATCTAGCAATCCCATTCCTAGATACTTACCCAAGCAAAGTGAAAATTTATATTTGTGCCACAACTGCACTCAAATGTTTATAGCAGCTTTACTTGTGATAGCCAAAGACTGGGAACAACTGAAAATGTCCTTCACCTGGTGAATTATCCATTCAAACAAAACTGTGATATAGTCACACTTACATGCAACAAAATCACTAAATCATAAATCCATTTTTCTAAGTGAAAGAAGCCAGGCTCAGAAGGCTGGATTCTGTATAATTACACTTGTATGACATTCTGGAAAAGGCAAAGTTCTAGGGGCAGAAATCTGATCATTTGTTGCCAAAGCCTGGGGTTGAAGGGAGAGGCTTACTACAAAGAGACAGGAAGTATTTTTTGGATAATGGAAGTATTCTATATCTTGATTGTGGTGGTAGTTATACAGCTATTTGCATTTGTCAAAGCTTTCAGAATTGTATACTAAAAGATTAATCTATCTAAATTACATCTTAAAAATTTTTAAAATAAAATTTAAAATACCACCTTATAGAAGACCCTTCCTGACCACTATTTAAAATCACCTCTCCTTGTCTGCACTCCTATTTCCATTTCACTTTGCTTCATTTTCCCCATAGTACTTATCACCATCCAATATACTATATAACTTACATACCTGTTATGATAATTGTCTCTCCTCCACACTGGTATATAAGTTCTATGAGGGTTGAGCTTTATCTGTTTTATTTGCTGCTGTATTTCAAATACCTAACACAGTGCCTGGCACATCGTTAGATACTCAAATGTTTGTTGAATAGGTGAATAAATAAATGAATGAAGGATGTGGTATCAGGAGATCTGTGTTTTACCTCTACTCCCTCTTTGTGTTCCCTGGATAATATGTGCCTTATTTATCTCAGAGGGCTATTGTGAGGATACAATGCAAAAGATAAAAAAATAAAAGCTTGTTATAAACTCTATAATTTATGAATTAATATTATTATTAGTTTTTTAAAATTAATGCTCACCCAAGGATATTTTTCCATTGATTTTCAGATAGAGTGGGAGGGAAGGAGAGAGAGAGAGAGAGAGAGAGAGAGAGAGAGAGAGAGAGAGAGAGAGAGAAACACATCAATGTGAGAGAGATACCTCGATTGGTTGCCTCCCACACGACCCCAGCTAGGGCCGGGGATTGAATTGCAACTGAGGTACATGCCCTTGACTAGAATCAAACCCACAGCTCTTTGGTCCACGGGCCAATGCTGTGACTGCTGAGCCAAACCAGCAAGGGCCCTTATTATTACTTTTTTAAATCCACACAACCTTGAATTGTTTTGTTTACTCAACTTTTCTCTTTTCTCCGCTTATATAACGTCGATAATCTCATAATACAACTAAGCAGTGTCTTACATTGATCTAATTATCTAAAATGTGAAATGTTTTGTTAACCTAACTAGATCATAAGTTCAGAGAGTGGAAACTATAGTTCTATATCATATATTTTAAATTCTTCCTGGTAAAATGATTTTGTTCTTTTGCTTAATCTAATCAAGAACCAGCCGGTGCAAGGGCCCCTGGGTGATGTGCGTGGCAGGTTCCGGAGGCGCCCGGAGGGCAGTGTGCCTGCAGCAGCGGGAATGAGGGACAGAGTGCTCAGAACATGTGGTCCACATCTTTAGGTCGTAGATTTTGGTTTTTACTTTAAGTAAGATGGGGGATTATTGTCAGGTTTAGAACAGATTGGTGATCTAACTTCCTTTTAAAAGTTTCTATGCACTTTTGTTTATAACAGACTATGAGGGGGCAAAGGAAGAATCAGAGAGACCAGTTATGAAGCAGTTGCAATAATTAATGCAAGCAAGAGATGATTTGTTAAATATATAATTAAGTTTGAGAACATGTATCTTTCCTTATATAAATAAACAAAAGAAAAGTCCTTTGTCAAATCTTGTGTTGACAGGCTTAGAAAATATGGTCATTTTCCCTTGTTGCCTAACTAACATGGTAGACATCAGTGCTGAAGAGTTAGTTGGTCGGCTTGAATTCTTGTATTGGGAGGACTAAAAGTTGCACAGCCTTTTTGAAGAGTCTAAGTTCATCTCATTTTTCTCCTTGGGCCTGTAGGCAGAGATGCACCTGGGACCTTTTCCAGCTGGATGTTTTAGCTGTGAGATGGTGGAGATGTGTGACGCGCCGCCTGGGGCTGCTGCACCGCAAACGCCCCCACCCAGCGTTCCAGTGTGCTGTGCCTGGTTGCTAACACGGTCACGAGCTCTTGGCTCAGCACACAGACACTGCTGCCAATGGAGTGCTCATCGGGCCGCAGCACTGGCCAGGCCCTGGCCCGCACTCCCACCGGCTGCCTGCGACACAGCTGGCTTCTCCACTATTGATTTATTTTCAGTGTCTGGAAAATTTTATTGACCAAGGAAATTCAGGCTTCCAGGGCAGTAGTGAGGGCCTCACCGCAGGTGAGTTTTGTTCAGTTAAGAGCACTCGGTCTAAAGTCTGAAGGGGACTAGATGTGGATTTGATTCTCCTTTCTGCTACTTGGCTGTGTCCCCTGGGAAAGTGATTGAACCTCCCTGACTTCGAGTTTCCTCAAATGTAAAATTGAGGTTCTTTTATTCAAGTGGTCACTCACACAGAATGTATTTATTAAGCGTAAACTAGGCATTGTGCTAGATTCTGGGAATAAAATGATGAATGAGTTCATGGTCTTTGAGAGATAATAATAATAAATACCTCATAAGGATAAATAAGAAAGTAAGTGTGTAGTGGATACCGTGGGTCATCTCCCCTACTCCTACCCTTCCTGGGAGATGCTCATTTTCTTCCAGGCCCTCTCCACAGTTAGTTGGTTCAGGTTATCTGCGTGATTCAAGTGAGGCCATTGAATACCTTCCCCTGGAATTCAATATTAGCATTTTATGATTCCATTCTTAGTCTCTGCTTTGAATGGAGGCAATATGAACTCCAGAAGTATGAAGAGTCAGGTATGGGAAGCAGGAAAAAACAATCTCAAATGAGAGAGAATAATGAACCAGGGAGCAGAGGCACAAAGAAGGTTGGAGACAAGAGATGACAAGAGTTCGGATGGTACGGTCCTCCCTGGCTCCAGTACCTTGTACCCCAACCTTTGAATACCTTTTGACACACACCTGTATCCTTTATCTGCGTTGTAATTTTGCTTAAATTAGCTTTAGTTAGTCCCAACTAGTTCCGACACACAGAAGGCACTGAAAAAGTGGTAGTTTTTATAATTACTGTTCAGAAACATGCAACTTCCCATATTTCTTTCATCCCTCCCCCTATACTTTTTGTGCAGAATGTCACTATCTCTGTGATTCTGATCTGCCCCCAAGTTCTGGACATTGTCCTGGAGAGCTTCATCTGCATCTCTTACGGAAACATCAAACCCAAATCAAATTGTCCCAGACAGAAATTCCCTATTCCAATATACTCACTTAGCCTCCTGTACTTCTTCTGTCTGTCAGCAAGAAAATCACTCATTCAGTTGCTCATAATCCTGTGTGTTATCCTAGATTTCTCCTATTTCTTCATTTTCCACATCCAATCATTCAACAAGTTGTGTAGATTTTGATTTCTAAACACCTTGTGAGTTCTTCTTCTCGACTTTATCATCCCCACTGTGGTCTCTGCTTCAGATTAGGTCTTCATAATCTCTCCCCAAGAGTATAGCAATGGCCTCCTATCAGTTTCTTCTCGTCCATCCTGCTGACTTGTAGCCCACCCTCCTCATGTCAGCCCCAGCAAATTGTATGGGAAGTAAGCTGATCAAATCATGTCTCTCACAGGGTCATCAACCATCCTTGTTTGCCCAGGACTGAGGGGTTTCCTAGATCACAGGACTGTCCCTGCTAAAATCAGGACTTTTCCAAGCAGACTGAAATGGTTGGTCACTTCTCTGATTAAAACAATTAAATGGGTAATATTTACATTCCAATTACTTTAGGGGCTCAATGAGTAAAGACTATTAATTAGATTGGGCAAAGGTTTTATTTGAGTAAAAATTCATACCCCCACCTTGTAATCATGTTACAATTCTTTCAGTGTTTCTTAAGTAATGGAATAAAGCTCTTTGAAATTACAAAACATATTTTTTCATGCGTTAAATTATACAGCAGAGGGAGACCCATGAATATAATACAAACATACTGATACTGCCCAAGAAAATTTAATTAAAAATTATATGCACTCTCAGAGTTACAAAGCTCAGACGGTGTTGTGTAATTCAGGTCAAATAGTCCTTGAGTACAGGACTAAATTAGGCTTTGTTTATTAGAGTTTACATCTCTAAGAGCTTCTAAGAGTTTTCCTAAGTGAATTTTGGAACTGATCTAAGGAGTATAAACATTTTTGTTTGTTTGTTTTGATTTGTTTTTTAATCAGAAAATTCAGAATATGTTTGTATGTGTGAACTCACATATTGTATACTTCTAAGTAATGCCATGTCTGAAATCTTACACATTTTCTCCTAAAATTTTATCACATACCTGATCCTTTAATGTTTTTGCCTCCAATGTACATAAATCTTGCTTCAAAGTAAATTGAATTGACTTTCTTAAATAAAAGTGAGTCTGCGTTTCCTACAAAAAATAAAACAAAACATTTACATGACTTCTTGTTACATGCAGAGAGGAACTTTTTAGCACAATATAGGAAACATTTCTTTGTCTCACCTTTGCTTTCTTCTCTGATATTACCTAATGCTCCTCCCTGTCTTGTGTGGATGATACATTGGCATCAAACTCCTTTGTAATTCTCTAAGGGCACAGTGCATAGACTGTTTTTCTATCTAAAATAATCTCTGTCTTCTAACTGCAAATTGATTGATCCTCGCTCACAATGTCACTTGGTCTTTAAGGCCTTTCTTGATACCTTCTCTCTCAAACAAAGCCCACAGTCCTTTGAGTTATCTGATCTCCTCATGTATACTCACATGATTGATCTAATCATACTAAATGGTAATATTCTTTGGTTACCTATCTTGTAGACTACTCCTTGATGTCAAAAAAATGTCTGATTTTTCATGGTATTCCAGAATCTACATGTGCCAGGTACATGGTGTAAGTTGGGAAATGTTTACTGAACAGAATCAAACTAAACGTTAAAACTTATGATTGTCAAAGTATTCTTATATAATTAGTTCATTTGATCCTCAAAATAGCCATTAGAAGTATATCATCTCTGTTTTGCTGTGAAGAAATGGGCCCAAAGAAGTCAGCTGAATTGCCTCAAATCACACAGATGGAGGATGGGAAACAGACTCAAACCTAGATTCTCTGATTTGAATCCATTGTCTTCCTCATTAGAACCACATGACTATTTATGTAATGGTCATTGTGACAGACAGAATAATGCTCCCCAGAGATATCCACATCTTTAAAAAAAATTTTTTTTTTCTGTATTGATTTTAGAGAGAGAGGAAGGAAGAGAGAGAGAGAGAGATAGCAACATGGATGACAGAGAACATGGATTGGCTGCCTCCTGCATGCCCCCCACTGGGGATTTGGCCCACAACCTGGGCATGTGCCCTGAGTGACCGAGACTCAAACCAGCGACCTGTTGGTGCATGGGCCGATGCTCAACCACTGAGCCACACCGGCCGGGCGAGATGTCCACATCTTAATCTTTGGAAGCTGTGAACTGTTGCCTTACATGGCTAAAGGAATTCTGCAGATGTGCTCAGTTAAAGATGTTGCAATTGAAAGAGTGTCCTGGATTATCCAGGTGGGCTCAATGTAATCATTTTAAGGGTCTTTATAAGAAGGCAAGAAGGTCCTAGTCAGAAAAGAAGAGATAAGGCAACAGTAATAGAGGTCAGAATGTGCTTTAGAGATGGAGGCAAGGCCTACAGGCAAGAATGTGCGATGCCTCTAGATTCTACAGTCTAGAAGCTGGAAAAGGCAAGGAAATGCATTCTTTCCCAGAGCCTCCAGAAGGAACAGTTTTGCCAACACCTTGATTTTAGCCTGTAAGACCTATTTTGGACTTCTGACCTCTAGAACTATAAGATAAAATTTTGTGTTGTTTTAAATCCCTAGATTTGTGGTAATTTGTTGCAGTGGCAACAGGAAACTAATGAAGTAATAAGTTTGTCAGTCTACATTAGTGTTGCATACCTTTCAATACTCCCAGATGGCATGGCTCCTGTCCATTCACTTCCCAGATCACATGTTGTCCTCCCTCATCAATTTTCTTCCTTTCTTTTTTTATTTATTAATTTATTTTTGTTACAGATGTTTCTCCTTTTCCACCCAGACACCCTCCTCTCTATCCCACCTCCCCCCACAGCATTGTTGTCTATGTCCACTGGTTATGCATATAAGTTCTTTGGTTTATCTCATCCATCCCCCCCCACCCCCGAGGTCTGTCAGTCTGAACCTTACTCCTTTCTATGTCTCTGGGTCTGTTTTGTTCATCAGCCTCTTTTGTTCATTATATTCCACAAATAAGTGAGATCATGTGGTATTTGTCTTTATATTCTCCATCATGTGGAGAGTATTTCACTTAGCATAATACTCTCTAGGTCCCTCCATGTCGTCTCAAAGGATAAAAGATCTTTATTTCTTACAGCTGCGTAGTACTCCATTGTGTATATGTACCACTGCTTTTTTATCCATTCATCTATTGATGGTCACTTGGGCTGTTTCCAGATCTTAGCAATTGTAAATAGTGCTGCTATGAACATAGGTGTACATATATTCTTTCTGATTGGTGTATCAGGCTTCTTAGGATATATTCCTAGAAGTGGGATCACTGGGTCAAATGGAAGTTCAATTTTTAACTTTCTGAGGAAACACCAGATTGTTTTCCATAGTGGCTGCACCAGTCTGTATTCCTATCAGCAGTGTACTAGAGTCCCCTTTTCTCCACACCCTACCCAGCACTTGTTATTTGATGATTTGTTGATGGCAGCCATTCTGGTGAGTGTGAGGTGATGCCTCATAGTTGTTTTAATTTGTATCTCTCTGATGATTAGTGACGTTGAGTATTTTTTCATATGTCTCTTGGTCATCAATTTTTAAGTAATAATGGTGTAGTCTGAGAACTACCTGTTGATTGATTTCAGTAACATTGATGTAGATCAGCAATTTTTAACCTTTTCCATCTCATGGCACACATAAACTAATTACTAACATTCTGTGGCACATAAAAAATATATTTTTTGCTGATATGACCAAAAATAGGTATACTTTTGACTGATTTATAAAAAATAATAGTAATTACCTACCCCTTTGCTTCAAAGTGACTTTAAAAAAAATAGGTGCTTTCCCTGGCTGGTTTGGCTCAGTGATTAGAGTGTCGGCCCAGGGACCAAAAAGTTGCTAGTTTGATTCTGATCAAGGGCACGTACCTAGGTTGCAGTTTAGTCCCTGCCCTGGTTGGGTCATACGGGAGGCAACCAATCGATGTGTCTCTCTCACATCAATGTTTTTCTCTCTCTCTCCCTCCCACTCTATGTGATAATAAATAGAAAAGTATCCTCGGGTGAGGAATTAAAAAAACAAAATCAAATGCCTATACTTGTATATAAGGATGTCTGATACCAAGAATTAACCAATCAGACACAACCTTATTATGTGCATGACCAGCAAGATGCATTTATTTTATGACATATCTGGTTATGTTTCAAGAAGGGCATCCACACTGGAAGGCTACTCTGTGTTGGCTGTTGTCATTTTTTAATTGGACAGTCTAAGGGAAAAGAGCTCAGTGCCCTTGACTAAATAGTCAGGTATTACATGTTCTAAAAATTCTTGTGGCACACCAGTTGAAAATGACTGATGTAGACACTCAAGAAGTTATCTCTTGGTTAATTGACATACTTTCTGGATTCTATAAATGTGAATTTCCAAAGTCAGATGCAGAAAGCGACCTCATGATCTTTGTCTGAGTCTCCCTGGGACAAGGTTTGTTTGTCATTTCTCTATTAACTTGGTATGTAATTATCTCCAGCAGAGAGCTGAACTCAGTAGGAATGGAAAATATCCCTAAGACAGGACTCTAAGGAGCCAACAATGAAGTCTTTCCTCAGCCTAATCCAGTGTGTTACCACTTTCAATTTGGACATAAATAAACTTGTGTAATATCTCAACTCTAGATATTTACTTATCAATATTCCTTATTCCTATTATTTTAAACACACATACAAATAGTCTTTCTTATTTTCCATAGTATTTACCACTTCTTTTCACTGTATCTTTCTAGCCTCTTATTTAACTAATGGCAAAATATAAGAAAGCGATTGTACTAGACTACGATTTTCCTTGCTTTGGAAGACTAAACTATTCTACTACTTTTTTAAAGGCATATTTGACTTGAAAAAGGAGAAATTAGAGGAATCTGAAGACCTGTGCAAAGTCCTATCCCAATATGCTGTTACTGCGTGGAATAAAATGTCTACCTCTCCAGTGGTGTGTAGTCAGAGAAACTCCATTAAGAATGGAAATGGAGAGAAATCGAGAAGTAAGAAATGAGTAAATGTATGATATAACAGATGGTGATAAGAACTGTGGAGGGAAATAAAGGAGAATAAGGAGGATTGGGAACTAAAGTGAGGCATGTTTTCTGTAAGGTATTCAGGGAAGGACTAACTGAGATGGCATTGGGGCAAAGGCAAGAAGGTAGTGAGGACTCAAGACATTCTCCTAGGGGAAGCGCTGTCTAGGCAGGAAAACAAGGGTCAGAGTCTCCCTGTGGTAGGAGCTGTTTTGTGCATTTAAGGAACAGCAAGCAACCAGTGTGACTGTAGTAGAGAGAGCAAGAAATGGGGATGGAAGATGAGGTTAGAAGGGGGGGGGGGCAAAATCTTGTATTATAAAACAATAATTGGATAGGAAGGCTTTGAGGTGTAAACTAGACCACTTGGCCAGGCACAGATCAAAGAGCTATTTCATGATACACATTGTATATCAGGTGGAGGGGAAGACAGAGAGTATGCCTGGTAAGCCTAGGCTAAAACATCCTTATTAGATTATATTTGGAATAATATAGATGGAATGGCAATAAGAATACAGCTAGGAAGAGAAAGAAGATTTTAGTGTAGAGTCAGTAAAGTAATTATTACCACCTGTTTATTATGTGCCAGAAATGTATTGAGCAATTTAAGAGCAGTATTTCTTTAATTCTCACTATTGTTCTATCTATTTTACAGGTGAGTTATAGAGAAGCTAAGCATCTTTCCGCAGATCAAACCAGGATTTAACTTCAGGCAGTCTGGCTGCAGAGTCTACACAACAGTAGACAGTCTTTCTATTCAAAGTAAAAGATGAAGCTGGCTGCCAAAGAAGATTCAGAAACCCAGGTTCTGTGCAACTCAAGTAATTAGGTACCCACTGTGTGCCCAGAACTAAGGAGAACTTGATCTGTTATGCTAGACAAGTTGGCCCTATACTCTCTGCCACATCTTAGTAATCTGCCAAACTGTGTATTTAGCTGGCTTTGGATTCCTGTAAAGCCCTGGCCGGTTTGGCTCAGCGGTTAGAGCGTCAGCCTGCGGTCTGGAGAGACCTGGCTTCAGTTCCGCTAAGGGCATGTACCTTGGTTGCAGTTTTCCCCTGGCCCTGGTTGGGTAGGGTGGGTGGCAACCATTCAGTGTGTCCCTTTCACTTGATGTCTCTCTCTCTCTCTCTCTCTCTCTCACACACACACACACACACACACACACTCTATCTGAACAATATATTGAAAAAATATCCTCGGGTGAGGATTAAAAAAAAAAGAATGATGTAGTAAAGAGTAAAGAATGGTGTAGTAAAGAGCCTTCTTGCTCGCTAAACAACTGGCTAAGTATGACCACGATGAATCATGACTTAGGAAGGTGTTAAAGAGGATCCAGTGTCAGCCCCATGATGTTTCCGAATCCCACGCCCCTTGACTGATCTCATATTAATGAGCACTGCCAAGAACACAGGGGTTTTGTCCAAGATGACAGCACCCAATTATGCAGGAGCATTGTGGGAATGTTGGCACCTAAGAAGAAGCCTGCTGTCAAGAATACAGGAAGCTTTCTAGGGTGACAGCATTTGAGAATCCAAGGAATAGTGTCTGAGGTGTCCTCAGCTGTTTTTCCAAACAATTGCCAAAGAAAATAAAGTTGAATGAAGGTCAGAATCATTAGATTGTGTTTTTGTTTTTCCTTTTAAAAAAGGTGGGGACAGCTATATCAACATTAGGCTTACTCTACTGTGCCCATCTGGTGTTGATTAGAAAAGGAGAGCCACTATGAGTATTACAGGAGTATTACAGGAATGAGGGATTATATGAATGTGAGAGGAGCTGAGTCAGTGAAGGTCTCCAGAAGACTGGAGAAAAACTCACTGTGGGGAAGCTCTAGAAGCTGTTATGTCTGGCTGCACAGACCTCCTAGGAATAGAGGTTTTCTCTTTGCTCCCACCTTCCAAATTCACACAGGTCTCTTTTGTTGGCAAATTGTAACCTGGAATGATATAGGAAGGGCTTCTGGAAAATGTAGTTTTCAGACTCAGAAAGACATGGTCACGGTGATGAGGCCATATTTGTAGCAGATAATATGGCAAACCTAGTGTAAATCTCCAAGAATACAAGGATAGAGTGATGACGAGAGAAATCCAATTGTTCATCAATACCCTCCACTTTTTGACCTGCATTCTTATTCCATACTGGTATAAGAATTCCTACTGCTGCTGAGAATGCCTATTTTGAATCTGTCTCACCACCTACACCTTTCTCCTGTCTGCACACAAAGGAAGTCATTCAACTTTAGCTTCACCCCAACATGTTTTTGTACCACGAGTAGCTCTTCTAAACTATTTCCACTTTCATCAAGCTATAAGTTAAACACCAACCTCACTCTACTTTTAGAGAAAATAATGATCATTTCTTACTTTCTCGTGACACCTTTAGAAACTTACCTTCTTCTACACTCCTCCAGATCTCCTCATAGCCTCTTGCAATGAAAAAGAGTCCCAACTCTGGTCCAAGGCTAATTCTTGGTATCCTGGATCGTATCATTTCTCATATTCTCTTGAAACTTCTTCCTCTATCTGTCAATCAATTTCTCTCTCTCTCTTCTTCTCCCGCCCTCCCTACTCCCTACACATTTTCCTTTTATTCTTAGCATAAAGGCATGCTCAGGTCTCTCCCATCTTAAAAATAATATATTCATTGATCTCACTCCATTTCTTCATTTTCCTGAAGAATAAAGCTCCTTGAAAGAGCAATCTCCTCTTGACTCTCCTAATTTTACTACTTTCAATTCAGTATGATTTTGACTCCTTTTCTGCCACACTCCACTGTACTATTAAAATCAAAGTCGCCTTAATTTCTAAATTCAATGACCACTTTCAGTCCTAACATTTTCTTGATTCTTTGTAGCATTTGACAGCTTCATCCTTGATATATCACTGTCCTCTAATTATCTTTTTTTTTTTTTTCATTCTGTGTGTGGTTTTGTCTTCTTTCCTCTCTGCACACTTTAAATATTGTATTCCCCTGTATTCTATCTGAAGCTCTCTTCCTTTCTTTATCTTGACCCTTTTTGTGACTTATTTATATCCATGGCTTTGACCATAACCAGTTTGATTATCTTCCTTTGTGATTTGATGCTTTTTTTTTTTTTTATAAGTGATACACTTTCTTTTCTCTTTACCTTTTTTATATCTGCTATAAGTTTTTTCCTTGTGGTTACTATGAGGACTGTGTAACACTTCTTGTTGTTATAATAGTCTCTTTTGAGCTGATAACAACCTAATTTCAATTGCATACAAAAATTCTATGCTTTTACTGCCTCCCCTCATACTCTTTATTGATTTCAGAATTTTCCTTTTGTATTGTATAGTTATTAACCATTTTTTGTTATTATAATTTTTCTTAATAGTCCTGTCTTTTACCGTTTATAGTAGAGTATAAATTTATACAACTCAATAGCAAAATACTAAACAACCTGTTTAAAAACACTGGCAGAGAGCCTGGCCAGTGTGGCTCAGTGGATTGAGTGTCCTCCCATGGACTGAGAGGTCCTGGTTTGATCCTGGTCAGGGCACATGCTTGGGTTTGGGGCTCGATCCCCAGTAGGGGGCATGCCGTTTGATGTTTCTCCCTCACATCAATGTTTCTGTCTCTCTCTCCCCCTACCTCTCTCTCAAAAAAAAATAAAAAAGTCAATAAAAAATATAAACATTGGCAGAGGATCTAATAGACATTTTTCCAAAGAAGACATACAAATGGCCAATAGGTACATGAAAAGTTACTCAATATCACCAATCATCAGGGAAATGCAAATCAAAACAACAATGAAATACTACTTCACACCTGTTGGAATGGTTATTATCAAAAAGACAAGAAATAACAAGTGTTGGAGAGGATGTTGGTGGGAATGTAAACTGGTGCAACCACTATGAAAAATAGTATTAAAGTTCCTCAAAAAGATGAAAATAGAACTACCATATGATTCAACAATTTCACTTCTGGGTATTTATCCAAAGAAAATGATAACACTAACTTGAAAAAATATATGCACCCCTATGTTCATTGTAGCATTATTTACAATAACCAAAATATGTTTTCATTGATGGATGAATGGATAAAGAAAATATGGAATATATATGTAGAATATTATTCCATGTGGAATATTATTCAGCCACAAAAAGAATGAAATCTTGCCATTTGCAACAACATGGATGGTTCTTAAAGGCATTATGCTAAGTGAAATGAGTCAGACAGAGAAAAACAAGTACAGTATGATCTTACTTATATGTAGAATCTTAAAAATACAGGACAAAACAAAAACCAAGCTCATAGTACAGAGGACAGATTGGTGGTTGCCAACGGTGGAGGGTGGGTAAAGCAAGTCAAAAGGTACAAACTTCTAGTTATAAAATAAGTCATGAGGAGATAATGTACAGCATGGCAACTATAGTTAATAATAATACTGTATTACATATTTAAAAGTTGCTAAGAGAGAAAGTTGCCAAAAATTTCTATCATAAGAAAAAGTATTCTATAACTATGTATGGTGACAGATGTTAACTAGACTTATTGTTGTAATCATTTTGCAATATATACAAATATTGAATCATTGTGTTGTACACCTAAAACTAATATATGTTAAACGTTAATTATACTTCAACAATTAAAAAAGTGATTTATGTACCACCCTTAAAGTTTTATATTTTGTGTTTATCTATATACTTTCCTTTCCTGTACGATTTATACCTTTGTATGCCTTGATCTTGCTATTTAGCATTCTTTTGTTTCAACTTGAAGATCTGCCTTTAGCACTTCTAATAAGGCATTTATATATAGTGGTGACAAACTCAGTTTTTGTTTGTCTGGGAAAGTCTATCTTTCCTTCATTTTTATTTTTATTTTTATTTTTTTTTTTTATCCTCACCCGAGGATATTTTTCCATTTTTTGTACAGATAGAGAGGGAGGGAGAGAGAGGAAGGGAGAGAGAGAGAGAAACATCGACGTGAAGGGACACATCGAGTGGCTGCCACCCGCACGACCAACCAGGGCCGGGGATAAACTGCAACCGAAGCACGTGCCCTTAGCGGGAACCGAACCCGGGTCTCTCCGGACCGCAGGCCGACGCTCTAACCGCTGAGCCAAACCGGCCAGGGCTTTCCTTCATTTTTAAAGGACAGTTTTGCTGAGTATATTATACTTGGTTGGCAGCATTTTCTTTCAGCATTTTGAACATATAATTCCACTTTCTGAGCCTACAAAGTATCTGCTAAGAAATCTGGTGATAGTCATATGGGGGTTCCCGAGTATGTGACAAGTGGATTTTCTCTAGCTGCTTTTGTAATTCTCTTTGTCTTTCACTTTTGACAATTTAATTATAATGTGCCCTCTTTAGGTTAAATCTATTTGAGATATTTTGGGCTTCATGATTTTGTATGCTCATCTCCCTCTATAGATTTGGGGAGTTTTTAACCATTATTTCTTTAAATAAGCTTTCTGACCCTTTCTCATGCTCTCCTCCTCTGGGACTCCCATAATGTGTATATTTACTTATTTAATGGTGTCCCATAAAGTCCTATAGACATATTCACTCTTTCTTATTCCTTTTTATTTTTGTTCCTTCTACTGGGTAATTTCAAATGACTTGTCTTCAAGCTTGCTGATTATTTCTTCTGTTGATCAAGTCTGCTGTTTGTGCTTTCTATTGAATATTTCAGTTCAGTCATTGTGTTCTTCAGCTCCAGATTTTTTTTAATGGTATTTGTCTCTGTTAAATTTCTCATTTTGTTCATGTATTGTTTTGCTGATTTTATTTGGTTGTCTAACTGTGTTCTCTTGTAGATCACTGAGCATCCTTTAGATTATTATTTTGAA